GTCCTGACAGCCTCAACGGAGCACCCTTGATCTTTCAACCCAACTGCATCCAACTGGGAGGAAGCGGCGGTGAACCTGGGAGCCCAGAGACCCCGCGGCCCCCGCGCCCGGCCCTTTACTTGCTTCTTCCCTTCCTGTTCACTTTTTAACCCCACTGGCCAGGAAATGCATAAATACAGCGGTGCCCCCCTCATCTCAGTGGGTTCCTCAGGACGCAGGGAGGGATCTGGACACGAAAGCCTTACTGTGCACAAGCCGTGTGGCCCCCACACACCTCGGCCCTCTCTGGGGTCACTGCATCACAGTGATACACTGGCCACCTCCCAGCCTTGCTGGGCGGATTAAAGATCTAAAACCTGCATCTAACATCGGGCGCAATCTCACACGAGGAGCCCCTGGGGGTGTGGAGTGTACTGCTATTATTGTTATTATTATTATTATTTTAACGTATTGCTTTTAGTAATTGATTATTGGTCATTATGTATACCTTTTGTGGCTCCAGAATAATTTATAGGGTTACAGGCTAAAGCGTGCCTCCCCCCACTCACAATTTGAAGTCCTAAAGCCCAGGACTCCAGAATTTGACTGTATCCGGGGAGAAGTCTTCATGGAGGTGACTCCTCACAGTGAGATCTTAAAGGTGGACCGTAATTGAGTCTGACGGAGTGCTCCGAAGAAGAGGACACTGGGACACAGACACACACACACAGGAGGGGAACCTCAGACCCTGACGCCCCATCTGGGTCGCCCGCCTCCAACACTGGACTCTGTCTGTCACTGGCGCCTCTCTGTGGTCTTTGTTATGGCAACCCCGGCAAAGTAAACATCAGCTTCAAATAAATTCTAGAAAACAGGAACTAAATTAAAACAAAAGGATGGCGGGCCTCCCGTGTGGCGCAAGGGGTTAAGCACAGCACTTTGAAGCAATCCGCAGCCCCGGCTGGCCAGGGAGCTACCCAACATGGCGCAGCAGACCTCTCCTGACTCGCCCGCTGCTCCCCTCAGCAGTGATTTTCAGTCAGTCTGCCTGTTCTGTTTCCCACTCTGTCTCTGGTGAATTCTCTCACCGCCAGCACCTCTGGCCTACACTCAGTTCTTGTATGCATAAATAAATAACTCTTAAAAAAAAAGAAAGAAAGGATGGCATCAGCAAGGCTCTAACCAAAAAGACACAGGGAGAAACTGAATGCTCCAACACTCCCAGTGGGCATGGAAAATGGTGCAGCCACTGTGGAAACAGTCGGTTTCCTCAGGAAGTTCAGCACAGATTCTTCATCTGTGTGGTCAAGAAATGTAGATGCATGGTCTCACTCAATGAGGAATTTAGAAAACTTAAATAAGAGAGCAGGAAAAAGACTAATCAATACAAAGTAAAAATCAAAATCAACAAGCAACTATAGGGGGCCTCCCTGGTGGCGCAGCGGTTGAGCGCTGGGTTGTGAAGCTGCCCACAGCCTCTGCAGCGCCAGTTCCATCCCCGGCTGCTCCCCGGCCACCGGAGGAGGGTCCCACATGGCGCGCAGACCTCTCCTGCTGCCCGCTGCTCCCCTCAGCAGTGTACTTCGGTCCTTCTGCCTGCTCTGCTCCCCGCTCTGGCTCTGGTGAATTCTCTCACCCTCCCATGCTTCTGACTGTCCCCAGTGCTTGTATAAATAAATAAATAAATCTTTAAAAGAAAAAAAAAAAAAAAAACAAAAACACCAAGCAACTATAAACCAGAGACACACAACGGCGGGGGGGTGGGGGGGGGTGGCGGGGAGAGGAAGGACTTGAGTCAAAATAAGGGGGGGTGCAATTGTATGCGGAATATAACCATAATGAAAATGCATACATTGTACAAAGATGAAAAATGATGTAAGAATTATATTTAAAAAATTAAAAAAAAAAAAAAAAGAAATGTAGATGCCAAGAGTCAAGCTCACTCTTGGGTACCTACCCAAGAGAAATGAAATCATAAGTCCACATAAAAACCTGGATTCGTAACAGTATTTACACCACAGCCAACAGGAAGCAACAGGCCAAGTGACAGCGGTGAGCACATACCCGCAGAATGGAATATTACTCGGCCATAAAAAGGAATGAAGTGCTGGCACCTGCTACAACTTGGATAAAGGTTAAAAAGAGGAAAGCAGGCACCAAAGACCACATAGTGTCCCATTTCATTTATGTGCAATGTTCAGAACAGGCAAATCCTTAGAGACAGGAAGTAGATTAAGTGGTTGCTGGGGGCTGGGCAAACAGCGAGGATGAGGCTTCTCTAAGGGGGCACCAAAAAGTTCTAAAATTAGACTGGTGGCTGCACAGTCTTTGAATGCTTTGAATATGCTAAAAACTAAAACATGCCTTGTACACTTTAAGAAGCAACTGGGTGATGCAAAACACATTTGCTTCATTTTAAGGCACCTTTGAAAAAATACCCCCCAAAAGCACTGTTCAATATCTGAGGGTCTCACGTGTCCTCCCACCACTTCCCAACCAGCCCACAGACTCCAGGTTCTCCCACCGACCAGTACTGATTCTTGTGCGCAGGCCAGGCTCATGACCAGCCTCCATGGGGATCAAGAGTAGGGACTACTCCCCCAGAAGCCAATTCCCATTTCCAGGTCTTTGCAGGGAAAAGGGACAGAGGTTTGATTTTTAAAAAAATCCTTTTTCAGCCTCTAAGCCCCTTGGGAGTGGGCTGCGTGTCTCATGAAGAGGGGACACATTTGTAGTCCTGGAGCAATTTCCCTCAGAGAGGTTCGTTTGGTCCCTCCATTAATCCTGAGATTATAGTGAGGACTCGAGTGTTTGTTTAAGCCCTTGTTCTACAAACCCAAATCCCTCCCCGGGAGCCATTCCTCAGCTGGGAGGGAAGTGGGCAGTGAGGTGAAGCCAGGCTTTCCCCTTCAGGCTCAGCGCAGCCTCCAGGCCGGCAAGGTTGTTTAAGGTGCTACATCTGCACAGTCTGTGGTCTGATAAATGGTATTTATATTTATAGCCCATGCAGGGGAAAGTCAAGCCGAAAACCCCACACACTTCCACGGATTGGGGAACTAAAAGCAGAAGCCATGGAGGCAAATTCATTTTCATTTCGATTAGCACCTTAGTTCCCACTAACTTTCGATGCGAATCAGAATTCAAATTTCTCCAGCACTTCCACCTTTTAAGCACATACCCTAAGGGATAATCCAACATGAAAATAATCTGCGACAGTGCTGTGTTCAACAGCAATATAATAGGAGTCACAGCTTTTAATTTATTTTTTTTTTATTTATTATAGTCAGAAGCGCGGGAGGGTGAGAGAATTCACCAGAGCCAGAGTGGGGAGCAGAACAGGCAGACAGATGGAGGACACTGCTGAGGGGAGCAACAGGCGCAGCAGTTGGGGTCTGCGCGCCATGTGGGACCCTCGCTGGTGGCCGGGAATCAAACCCACACTGTAGAGGCTGCGGGCAGCTTCTCAGCCCAGTGCTCAATCGCTGTGCCACCGGGGAGGCCCGCTTTTAAATATTTTTGTAGTCACATTTAAAAGGCATAAACAGATGACATTATCCTGATCCACTTTGTTTAATCAATATATCCAAAATACTGTATCAACTGAAATTGCCAGGTTTAGCAAATAAAAATATAGTACACATCCAATTATATTTCAGGTGAACAATACAGGGCATCTTGCTTAGCATAAATATAGCCCGATTCCATTTTAGGATATACTTAAACTACAACATTTGTAGTTTATATGAAATTCAAATTTAACATGGTATCCTTTTTAAATTGGAGACAATAATTTCAACATGCAACCAATATAAAAAATAATGAGATATTTGACTTTTTCCCCTTTTGGGCAATAAGTCATTGTGTATTTTTACACTGGCAGAACATCTGAACTTGGTTTAGTCCTATTTCAAGGGCTCAATAGCCGCACAGAGCTCATGGTTACCATTTTTGGACAGCACAGTGTAACAGCTAGAAATGAGAGATTAGCAAAGGTAATACCCATCAACAAGAAGGCTGCTTCATTCACAACGAACACTTAAGAGAGCACCACGAGGAGTCCTTGTCCTAAGAACCACGGAGCTGGTCAGCCCTCACGGCAACCAGGGACAACGAGGATAACCCCTCTTTACAAAGAAGGAAAGGAAAGTTCTGGAGCTTCCATCCCTGGCCCGAGAACATGGAAAATCCAAGTGTGATAAATCAGAGTGTGAACTGGATGATGATGGATGGTGGGAGGTCCACACATGTCCTCCCTGACCAAGATGAGGGAAGGGCGCACCCTAGGAACACTGGCTTTCTCTGGATGGTGGGCAATGCTGGGCAGTCTGGTCTCTGCTGTCAAAGTGATGACCTTTCACATCCTTGGCCCTGACAAGAGCCCTAACAAGCGACTGTGCCTTTGTAAGCCCAGATCCTCTTCTGTAAAGCGAATCACAACCTCTGTCCACCCCACAAGCTGCTGGAGTCTAAATACAAGGGGGCAGAGGTCCCCCGAGCACCTGCTCAGGGGGTAGTTCTCAGTGATGTGACTTCACTCTCCCCAGGGGCTTTGCCCTTTTCCGCTGGCTTACACATTTTTCTGGTGAGCATCAGTCACTTTACAAAGAGCAAAAAAAGGTTACTTTCAAAAGAGGAAAGACAGCCCCTGAGAAGCAGCTGCAGAAAAAAGAGAAGGAAAAAATACAGAAAGGGGAGGAGAGAAAGGAAATTCACTACTGGCAGGGAAAGGTGAGGTGTCCTTTCCCCGTTGTTTGGTTTTCTTTCTCCTTTTCTCTTTGTTTAAAATAAACAAAAGAAGTGTTTTTCTCTTAGTTCTGGCTGGAGGATGGTCTTCCCCAATATTCTGAGTGACCACCAGGGGGCACTGCCTGCAGTTTCACTGCTGAGGACAACAGTCCCTTGTCAAAAACCTAAAACTTGCAAATCACCAAAGCCATTCATCTTCAGGGGTCCCCAGCTGAAGGCTGCAGACACACCTCTCACAAGAGGGGAAACGCAGTGAGACCATCTCCCCGTCCTACCTTTGGAGTCTTCTTTGGCCAAGTGACTACAGGAACCCCAGTGATGGCCAGATTGGGGTCGTCATCTGCGTGCTCCTTCAGGACGTTCTGTGGGAAACAGAGGAGCCCTATTAGCTCTGGGTAGAGGGGAGGCTCCTCGAGGGGGCTGGAGGCCAGACCTAACCCAGTAAAACATAGTGTGTGCCTGCCCCTCACCCCACTGCCACCCCCACACGCAATAAACCCATCGCCAGGGTCTCCCAGGTTCCCAGGAACACTCAGCATCACCCTCTCCAAAAATCAAAGGACACCCTGAGACTGTACCGCTCACGGACCATGCTCCCATCCACAGAGCCGTGGGCGCTCGCCACACTCCTAACCAGCACCTGGACCCGCCAGCTGCCACCCTGGGCAGCGGCACTAAGAAGCTCCAGGGGACTCAAATCAGCCAAGTGTTCATGGAAGCCATCAAACCCCCACGCCTGTGACCCTCAGCAGGGTTCCCCCAGTCACCTCGCCGCGGGCACCCTGATCCTGCCATGTGAACACATGCCCGTGTTTCCTGCAGCAAGTAGAACCTGCTTTGACCCAGGACAGAGTCACCTGGCCAGATCCTGCCTGAAAATGGGCTGTGAGGACCAGCGGCCCAGCACAGAGAGGGCCTCACACCTCTGTGCTCAAACCCTCCTGGGTGGTCTGGAGCTTTCCTGGGTAGCTCTGACTCTACCAGATCTTGGCCTTGCGTGCAGGTGACTTGAGAACCTCATCTGGATGTAAAAGGCCACACCTCTGATTTTCCCTAGTTCATAGGTGAGATGACCATGCTCAGACAGACTCAGAGGACCTGGGTGCAGCCTCAGTCCAGGAGGGCAGAGTCCCGAGCCCCCTTCTCTAGCTAGCAACAGACTTCCCGCCCAAAACTGGGGTACTTTAGCTGCATCCACAGAGTGCCATAAAACAAGTGTTTTGGGCACAAACCTGCTCCTGTTCTATTCTGATCTTGACTATTAATATCTGGATTGTACAAAAACACTCCTACAGGGACATGAGAACAGAGGAAGTCTCCCAGTGGCACTTAACAGAAGGTCAGGGGGACTCAGAAGATAAATGAAAGTAAAGAAGATTTTAAGTCACTTCCCCAAACCGACTTCAACAAGATGAATCCAATTCACTTCTAATTGATTCTTATTGTCCCACTTTTCTGATCACCACCTACTTGCTTGCCTGATTTTTCAAAATGTGGCCGCTACCTCACATGGCATGAGAACTCCCTCCTCACTCACCAGAGTTGGCACACACACCAGTGTGGTCAATAGTGCAGGTTCTAGAGCCCCCCCAAGTTCAAATCTCAACTCCAGCACCTGCAGCTTTTTCTCCCAGTCTGGAGTCAATGATTTATAAATGCTTTCTAAAGTGTTTCAGTTCACTGCTATATCCCAGCCCAGAAAAATGACTAATGGAACAGCACAGAACTTAAAAAAATAATTAAGCCACAGATCCCTAAAGAGGGACTTTCTACAAAATGCCTGAATGGTGTTCCTCAAATCTGTCAAGACAAACAAAGCAAGGAAAAATCTGAGAAACTGTCACAGCAGCAAGCAGTCAAAGGGAAGATGACAATGGAAGGCCATGTGGGTTCACAGTGGGATCCCGGAGTAGACAGAGGATGTTGGCAAAAACAGGAAATGCGAATCAACTACAGGCCTTAGTTAATAACACTAGCACTGGGGCCTCTCTGGTTAAGACACAAGGGGTTAAGACACAATCTATGAAGCAATCTGCAGCCAGTGCAGCACAAGTTCGATCCCCAGCCAGGGAGCTACCCACATGGCGCAGCAGACCTCTCCTGACTCACCCGCTGCTCCCCTCAGCAGTGTATTTCAGTCAGTCTGCCTGTTCTGTTCCCCACTCAGTCTCTGGTAAATCCTCTCAACCCCGCACCTCTAGCCTGTACCTCAGCTCTTATATGCATAAATAAATAAATCTTAAAAAAAAAATAACACTAGCACGATTAGGTCATGAATCCAGCAATACCTCTGCTAGGTATCAACCCAAAGAATATGTAAACGCTAATACGAAAAGACTTAGGGACGCCTATGTTCATAGCAGCACTGAACACAACTGCCAAGTCCTGGACCCAACCTAAGGGCCCATCAACAGACGACTGGATAAAGAAATCAGGGAATATATATTCTGTAGAATACTATACAGCTATGAAAAAAGATCAAACAGTGCCTTCTTGGACAAAATGGATGGACTTCAGGGTTAAGTGAATTTAGGTTAAGTGAAATAAGTCAGAAGGTAATAAAACAAATATTGGATGGTTTCACTTATCTGTGGAATAAAAGTAACCTAAAAACAGACTGGCAAAGCTTAGCAAACAATTCTTAGACTTAGTGGAAAATTTATTGGTTACAGAGAGAACAGATGAGAGGGAGGAGGGGCCGGGGAAGGGCGGGGGCAGGGCCCTGGCACAGGAGGGTCGGTGGAGGGTGAGTGAAGCATGTGCATTTATGGAGAAATAAAAATGTAACGCTAACATTGTACTTAAATTTTTAAAAAATATTCGAATATTCATTGTAACAAACGTACCACACTAGGGTAAGACGTTATTACAAAGAGAGGCTGAAGGCAGGGATGTACAGGGGAACTCTGCACTATCTGCAATATTTATCTGTAAATAGAAAAACTCTTCTAAAACATCATTTTTTTAATGTCCATCAAGCATCAGTAACAGCCACAACAAGGCAAAAACAATTCTTATACTGTCAATGTCTCTGTTACACAGGCAGCCTATTTAAAAAGAAATAAAGCAAGAACAATGAGGTGAGGAGTGAGGTCAGGCATGGACTTCACAGGGAGCAGCGGGGTGATCTGTGGGAGTGAGGGGGGTCATCAGCACTGACCTGGTTTAGAACTGCATTGCTCCAGGAGGATACAAAACACACCAGCTTTTTATCAGTCTATCAATTACTGCTCTTCAATGCACTGCAGACCATGTACTCCGGAATCCTGGCACCCCAGGGTGGATCATGCCCACTGGCCTCTCCCACCTGGGCCCACCCGTCAGGGAGGGTGGGAAGGGCTAGGAAAGGTGCGAGTGTAAACCTCAGGAGGGCAGGCACCTCCCGTTTAGTTGAACGAATGCATGTTTGGGGTGCTTGCCATGGGGTGGGCAACATATTAAGTATCTCATATCCACTCTTATCCAGCCCCCTCACGCACCTCTGAAGTGGACTAGCTTCGTGTCCACAGCACAGATGAGAAGCAGGGCTCAGGGAGACCACTCAATGCAGGGTGGCGGCCCCTCCATCCCCAAACCTGTGTTCCTTAACCGCAGTATCATTTCATCTGAGTAAGGGGGGTTTATCCATGCAGTGGAATAGTATTCAGCCTTCAAAAGGAAAGATCTTCAGGTCAAGTTTTCTTTACACTTCCAGAATCTGGAGGGAGGGCCAGCACCTACTACTGGTTAAGTTACTCCATGAACCACGATGCTGAGAGAAATAAACCCATGACGAAAGGACAGCAGTGTGCTTCCACTTAGCTGCAGTCTCTAGAGGACTCAAATTTACACAGACAGAAAGCAGACAGTAGGGCCAGAAGCTGGGGGATAGGGGTTTTTGAATGGGGACAGACTACAGTTCCGCAGGATGAAAGAGTGCTGGAGGAGGACAGTAGTGGTGGCTGGTGCAATGTCACTTCAAATGGTGCAGGTGTTCTATTTTAGCAATTTTTAAAAGGCGAAGGGGGAGTGGGGCCACGAAATCCCTTCCTGAGAATTGATTTCAGAGGTCCTAGAAAGCACAGCTTGGGACGTGCTAGCTCCATAAACAATTCTCTTGTGCCAGGGAGAATTCCAGATCTAGAGACAGAAGACCGGGTTTACATTCTGCAACTGATTATCTGTGCGATGGGAAGGGAGTGGGGACCTCTCGTTCACCTTAACCTCATGCTATGAAGCTCATGGATGTGACTTTACTGCCATCCTTAGGAGCGCCTGTGAAGTGCTTCCTCTGGACATTAAAATAACCGTATCTGTGTGCTAGGGTTTATTATCCCCAGTTCCACAAAGCGGAAACTAAAATTCAGAGAGGTTAGGTATTTGCCCAAAGTCACACAGCTGGCAGGTGTTGGAAGCTGCCAGTGACCCGGTTCATATGAGTCAAGCCTCAGGAAACCATTCTAGTAGCCGCCAGAGCTGATCTATATGTCAACACCGAGAACTGACACCCGGCGACATCTGGGTTCTGTATTCACTAGTCAGTCAACAAACACAAGTGAGGCATCCTCGGCAATTCCTTGCAAATGAGACAGAACTAATGTGGCCACTAACACATTTCCCAGACTTTCCCTCTATCACAGAAGAGCCCCTGTGGGGACTTGCATACCCCTCACATTTCGTTTTGGCATTTAGAGTCTCTTAATAATCCATGTGAATTCCACACTCTCTTCCACAATACACCAGGGCTTCCCCCGCCCCTATTTTTTTAACATGGGTATTCAGTCCACATTTCATTTTACTTGTGTTTTATCTTTCCATTGAACACTGCTCACCATTCCATAACTGGACCATTAGGTACGTGCCGGCCCTGCAGCCAGATTTTTGAAATGTAAAGAAACTTGACCTGAGCTTTCAAGTTGTTGAACGGAATCTTGGTGGTGGCAAGATCGTTTGCATCTAGGGTGAAGTAACAGCCCAGGGACAAGAAGTCAAACAAGTGGAGTAAAGAGCTCAAGAGAAGACAAAGTGGCGGGGGCTGGAGACTGGGAATCCAGTTGCAAGCTGGACCTGAAATCTGTAAAGTAGAACAGCAGGCGGGAAACGGAAAGCAATTTGCCGAGTGATTATCTCAAATGGTTAGTGATTTTTCTTAACTTGATCCAGGGATGCTCTCCTCAAATTGAAAGGGCTTGTTTTTGCTAAAGATAATGTTTCCTTGCCCGCCCCAAACAGTAAAAAAAGTCTTTCCAGGAAAATGCCCCATGTTTGACCTCTCTCTCTCTCTCTCTCCACACACACACACACACACACACAAGTATGTATGTGTGTTTGTGTGTGTATGTATGTTTGGGGCTCTGGGCGCATCACTCCCACAGGACTTTCTGTCCCCTTACCCCAATCTCAACTCTCGGGTAGGGGGAGACCAATTCAATGACTCCAGGAGCCAGGCAAGTAAAGAGAAAGATGTAAATGGATTAGGGCAATAGAGAGTGGTGAGGACTATGGCAAACTGGAAGCCACAGGTCCTGATTAAGGAAGGCAAATGCTACTCCAATCTGCTAACCTCCTGAGGAATGAAAACTCCACTGGATTTCTGATTTTTCAGAAGAAATCAAAGATTCAGAGTTTTATCTAAAATCTCTCGAATTTCAAATGCTGAATTTTAAATGTTAAATGTTTAAGGGGCCGCCCCGGTGGCTCAGGGGCCTCCCCGGTGGCTCAGCGGTTGAGCCCTGGGTTGCGAAGCTGCCCGCAGCCTCTGCAGTGCCGGTTCGATCCCCGGCTGCTCCCCGGCCACCTGAGGAGGGTCCCACATGGCGCACAGACCTCTCCTGCCGCCCGCTGCTCCCCTCAGCAGTGTACCTCGGTCCTTCTGCTTGCTCTGCTCCCTGCTCTGGCTCGGTGAATTGTCTCACCCTCCCACGCTTCTGACTGTACCCAGTGCTTGCACAAAAAAATAAATAAATAAATCTTTAAAAATAAATAAAATAAAATATAAATAAATAAACAAATAAATGTTTAAGATGATTTCTTTAAAAAAAAAAATCACTGTGAGCCAGATCTCTATGGGCTGGTTTGGGTGCTGGACCACTGGTTTATAAATGATGCTCCGCATACAACTGAGAATAATGCCCCCTCCCCTTGGCTTTCCTTGTGTTGCCTTCTGAAGTGTCTGGAAATTTTTTTATCATTTTAGTATCAGTTGGAGTCTAACTCACAAGCATTGAAGTGAGGCCTTTTTAAAAGGATGTATGGCTACAAAAAACTATTCCTGGAGACGTAAGAATTATTAATGAATGCATGAATAACTACATGTATTCATGAATACATGAATAACTAATAATTAAAACGTAATAAAGAGACTTTCCAAACGCCCTTGGGCACAGGGTCTCCTCCTGCGGGAAGTTAGTCTCCAAACGTGGCCACCAGGGGGCACCCCGAGCTGCCCCACGGGGAAGTATTTTCACTCGTATGCGCCGCTCTCCACTGAGAAGAGATTCTTCTACATGGTAGATTTATTTCCATAAATTACGCTGAAGGGACTCTTCCTGCCAGCTTCCCTCAGCCCTGCCAGAATTTATACACTCCCTGGGGCTCTTGGGAGCCGAGAGAAGGAAGCCCGGTGCCTGTACCAGCCCAGGACGCACCTGGCAAACCCTCGAGTAGGCGAGAAGGCCAGAGCAGGTGTCTCCTAAAGGGCCCTTCCTGCTGGACTGCCCCCTTCTGACCTAACTAGTGACCCACACAGCGGTCATGCTGGGCCTCCCTGCTCCGCGGACTGCTCTCAACGAGGTCAGTTAGTTAACGATGGATTCAGGCCCCACGTCTCCCCATAATTCCCCATGGCTCCATTATTTCTCGTGACCCCGTAATCCCGGCAATAAGGAGGGAAGTCCATACTACCTGGCATTTCCACCCCAGCTGCCACACATGCTCCTTGCAAAAGGATCTCTGGCAAAGATCCTCCCACCTCCAACCTGGGTGGCCTCGGCCCACCCTTCACAAGCGCGTAGCACCCAGTGATTCTCAGGTCGTTTACAGTCCGCGTGAGGACTAGAACTGCCTCCAAATAGCCCCCACCCTCCGTGGCTCCACCGCTGTCTCCCGGAGTCCCGGCTGGGAGCAGATTCTTCCAGGCGGGGACAGGGTGCAGGGCCACTTCCATCTTCCTGGGACCTACTCTGTCCACCAACTAACGGTTGTCATTCTGAGAGGGCAGAGGTGATATCCTGATTGACCAAAGGGTCCCTTAAAAGTCACATACATCACAAATCTTAGAATGTCCACATGAAGTCACACTGCATTAGGGCATCCCGACTCGCCGTCTGGTGTCCTTCTAAGAAGAGAAGGCAGTCTTGACAAAATGGGGCTGAGGTTAGAGCGACACACGCGTAAGCCAAGGAATAACAAGGGTGGGGACAGCCACAAGAAGCGGGAAGAGACAAGGAGGGATCCTCCCCCACAGCCTGCGGGGCCAGTGTGGCGCCCCAGGCCTGTGACAAACACCCGGTGCGCCCAGCACACCTCCCCAGAAAGGCCCGCGTCTGCAGCAAGTGCTAAGAAAGAGCTCGGCGGCAACTGCACCACCCCTTTCCCCCAAGAGCTCTCCCTGCAGTTCTCGACCGCGGCCTCTGCTGGACACTGCGGCCTTGCTGGCACGGGAAGCCCCTCTCCAGGCCTGGACGACGCCCCAGTCCGCACGGTCACCCCAGTCGGCCCAGGGAGCCTGCACTTCGAAGGAAAGCCCTGCAGACCCTGGCGGCGCCTGCCCACCTTCACACCCTCCAGGAGCGCCTGGGGGTCCTCGATGCCCTCGGGCACACACTTCTTGTTCTCCGGAAGGGACTCCAGCTTCTCCACCAGCGCCTTCAGGCCCTTCAGCTCAAACTCGGTGAGGTGAGTCCATCTGGCAGAGACCTCGGTGGCGGGCGAGCCGGTGGGCGTCCTGGGGTAGTCGACGGGCATGGCCGTGGACTTCACGCTCTCCTCTGACTCGGTAGACAAAGTCCTTTTGAGGAGCCGCAAGGCAGGCGTTTTGGGCTCCTTCCCGGGGGCCTCCTGGTCCTCGGCGGCGCTGGCGGGCGAGGCAGAGCGGTCGGCGGGCGTCCTGGGGCCTCTGTCTGCCTCCGCGCCCTCCTCCTCCTCCTTCTCCTCCTCCTCTGGGGGCTGCTGCTCACAAGACTCCTCCTCCATCTCCAGCCAGGAATCAGAAGAGAAGCCGTCTATGCTGGGCTTTCTCGGGGCATCTATGGGGGGCAGGGGGTGGGGGGGTCACAGGAAAGACTGACATGAACACCCGACTTCCTGCCGGGGCTCCGGGAACCTGCACTCGTCAAGGCTCCCTCCCTGGAGACAGAGCCCCTTTGCCACCCCGAAGCCTCTGCCCGCCTCGGCTCCCGGAGAGGCGGGGCCCGCCAGCCACAGCCTCAACGCCCGGGCAGCCTGCTTCGTCGCCAGCACACCTGGCGTTTACCTTTCAATATACTAAAATAAAGCAAAAGGACGTGTTTTCCAGGATCCCATTTGCAGCAAGTGTCTAGAACAGGGGACTCTCGAGACAGGAAAGAGACTTGCGGTGGCCTGGGCCGGGGGAGAGGGTAAGGTCAGAGGCCAACAAGGGAGCAGTTTTCTTTCAGGGGCGCAGAAACTGTACTAAAGACGGATCACGGTGACGGTCAATTTAGGAAAAGACTGACTCTCCCTGGGAATCCTGAACACCAGCGAGCCGCGCACGGTACGCGTGAGCCGCAGCTCCCGACCTGCAGGCCAGGGATGCTGTTTGAAAGCACTGAAGTGAAGACGATGTGCTCTGAAGGCTGCCGGGCTGCATGAAATGCCACAGAGCACGGTTCCCGGCATGCAACTAGCATTCGATAAAAGGGGGGCTCCCCGGTACCCCTCTTTTGGCAAATAGATTATAGAGGAGCAGGGAGAAAACAGAAGCAAGAAAATTTAAGGGAAAAAGTGGCCCGCAGATCCAGATCTTTAGGATCTGCCCTAAAGATTCAGGTAAGGGGAGGACCTTCGAGTCCCAGGCCTCAAACTGCCCCAGATCCAGCTTCAGGTCCCCACGGACGCGCGACGGCACCGCGGTCTCGGGGGTTACTGAGCTGCTTCAGTCCTCTCCCGTCTCCGACCAGGCTGGCCGCTTCAGGGGAGCAGAGGGGAGGGCTGGGGTATTTTTGGCCCCCAAATAGCACATCATCTGAGACTCAGCATAAGAACGCTCCCAGACAGACCTGAATTTCCCCAGAGGCAAAGGCACACTTTCCAGCAACAACCCGGCAGAGACATTTTTCCCCACCTATGCCCCATCCAAAAATCACTGAGGGAGTCAAGAAAAGAAAGAGGAAGTTTGGGGGGTGGAAATTCTAAAGCTGGAGATCACAAGAGATCACACAGATCCCAAAGGGACAGCCGAGGGCACATTTCTACCCGCTAAGGAGGCACCAGGGAAAGCCCTCAGCAGCGGCAGCTCAGAAGAGGAGGGGAACGAGGCGCTTCCTTTCTACAATCGCTGCTTTCGGGGCCGCCGATCAGTGACAGCAACTTCGGGGGTGACTGTGAGTCAAGATTCAAGGATGATGTCCCTTTAAATGCTGGCGGTGGGCAGGCGCAGCTGCAGCTGTGAGCTCTCCCTGCCTCTGTCAGAGCCACCCACCGCCCTGCCAAGCCCTGCCAAGCCCGCGTCTCCAGCCCTGGCCACCCCTCCCGCTGCTCACAGCTGGTCTGGGATTTGGGGGACTGGCTGTTTCTCAGGGGCCTGCTCCCATGCAGACAACCACCTGCCCCCAGAGTGACTGGAGAAGGGGCTGTCAGCTGGTGCCACGCAGGAGGCGGTGCCGGGGGAGCCTATTACAGACGCCGAGCCGGACCGGCCCCTCCCCACATCTGCACAGTCACCCACAAGCAGCCACCACTGTGCCCACTGATTCACGATTTCCTGTTCCACGTGGGAAGCTGACAAGGGTGTCACCCTCTGACAAGATGGCTCGGCTTCTGCCTGACACTCCGGTTCCAAAGACTTCTGGAACTCAAGACTCTCCAAGACCCCGCTTGAAAAACAGCGATCCCGGCCCAGCTGCTCCCGGGAGGTGGTCAGTCGCCCACGCTTCACTCACCAATAAGCATCGACTCTCTCTGGTATTCCTGAGTGAGGTAGGACCGCTGGGTCACACAGTACACGTACCGCTCCAAGACATACCAGCACATCTCATAGTAGAAGGGGTAACGGAATTTGGGCTGCACCTGGAAGCAAAAACCCGGGGGTCAGTTTCTGGAGGGCCAAGGGGTAAGGAAGGAGACTTGCAGGGGAGGTGGGGGTATCCCGGGGTGGGAATTAACTCCATCATCTCAGAACACAAAGGATGCAAGGGGAAGACGGGTGGTGGGCTGCAGCGGAGGCAGGAGAGGCCAAGATACCAGCAGCATGCACGAGTGAGGAGGCAGGGGGGGTGGAAAGCTCCCTGATCTGGGCCCGCTGGGGGTCTGCTGGCTGCTTCTGTGAGAGGCGGAAGAAAGAGCTGTCCCCTGCCCTGCTGACAGACATGTAGGTACCTGGGGACACCAGTCGCCCTGAGCCTCGCTTCACTGTGTGGCTCAAACAGTCCTGCACAGAATCTGCTACCCCGTCCTGCCCCCTGGAGATCAAAAATCAAGCCCCACACCTCAGCCATTTCCAGACAAGCCTGCCCGGCCTCTCCTGGCCTCTCCTGGCCTCGGGGAGGGAGGCCACACCAGGCCCCCAGTGAGTACACAGGGGCGTGGCCTGTCCTCCCCGGGGGCGGGGCTTCAGAGGGGCCGCCTCCAGTTCCTCCCCGTTAACCACATGCATGCTCAGCGGATTCCCTCCAACAGCAGTTCCTGATGAGACCAGGGGCCACTCTGACACTGGCGGACACGCAGCCAGGTCTGGGGCGGGAGTCCAGATGTAGATCCCCTGTGGGCCACTGCTTGGAGGGGAGCTAGTTCAGATGTAGAGAACTTCGTGCATCAGAACTGTCAGAAGGCAGGGGCCCAAGGAGGGTCCCCTGGGTGGCAGCCGGGGTCTACACAGAGGACAGTGTAAGAAGGAGATATCTGTGAGGACCCTACAAGGACGAGCCTTCCGGAAATTGCACCGAGTGGGAAAGGGAGGAAGAAGAAAGGGAGAAGCATCTCCCACCACTGGGCCCCTCCTGCAGCGGCTCCACGTGGGTTTGGCATGTCCACACTCACACCCAGCCTGCAACCCTGCCCTCCTGCCATGGCGCATCTGCCTCAAGGGACCTCTGCAGGGATCAGAGGCCACTTGTCACCTCTCTGATCCCCCAGGAACTCAGGAAGCCAGAAGATGAACAAGCACACTCTCCCACTTTTGCTGATACAGCTGCATCGACATCAGGACCAAGGCTAATGCAAGGAGAGCGAGGTGCTACCACCACCCCAAGTACTGTTTTCCTGCCTCTCTCCAAATGCCCGATGGAAAAGGCCCCAACTCTGTCCTCAGAGTACGGCTCCTGGCTCCCCCTCTGCCCAGGCCCTGCTGACTTGGTTTCCAGCATTGAGACCCTTCTGCACTTTGGGGGCATCACTCCTCTAGCTGGTCTCCCTGCCTCTGGTGGATGGGATGCTTGGGGATGGGAGCCTGGCTGCCGCATGCTTTTGAGCTCCTTGGGGGATGCATGGGGTGGGGTCATCATCTAGCGGTTTCCTTGGCTCCAGCTACTTTCACGAGAACCCCAATTTGGGCTGAGATGGAATTCACCTTTTTCAGTCACTAGATAGTGCCCTCTGGATTTTAAAAAGGAGAGGGGCTGTTCAGTTTGAAGCAGAACCCGACCTCCTGAGGGGTCAGGTTTGGGGGTCTCAGCCCCACCCCCACTCTAGAGCGAGGCCAATGAGTTTTTAAACAAATGGCCCACACCTAAGAGAAGGCCAAGCACAGGAGGCCCCTGCCCCGGCCCCTACTGACATCTCCTGACTTTGGACTCAATCAGAAAAACTCAAGTGGAGTTCTGACTTTTCAAATTTTGGGGTATTGTCTTAGGTGCTCTGCATTGCTGGGCACCTGACACTTGAGAGTGTTTCTAGATGAGAGGGGAAAAAAATTTGGGGGTACTTCATTTTGGGAGAGGAAAACGATGTCTCCCCTCGCTGTTGCTGAACCCAAGGGAAACCAGCTGGGTGAAAACAAAGGCTGATGAAGGAATTCAGGTCGGTTGGCTTGTTTTGAATTTTCTTTTTTTTTTTCCAAGAGAGCACCTCAGGAAACAAAATTGGCAAAGAATTGACTTACAAACGGGTTGTCGCCTTCCACCCTTCGCCTTCAAAAGGTCTCAGCCACATGCCTGGGGACATTAAACACACGATTGACCGCTCAACATTATTTGTGGACAAATTCGGAGCCTCACCAAACTGAGCTGTTCACCGACATCCGTCCAAAACCACAGGCAGGGCCATCAGAAAGCATGGCAGCCCCTGTGGGGGCACCGGGCCCGACAGCCGGCCTCCAGGGCTGCCGTCCTAACGCACCGGAGTGGCACCTGTCAGGGCCCCTTCAGCGGCCCAAGGCATCTCGAACGAAGGACCTTAGGAGATCAGAACCAAAGAGTCTCAGTGCCTCTAAAACTCCCAGGTCTCAAGGACTTGAAAAATGAAAAAAGGAGGGTGGGTGGAAGTGTCTTAAAATTTGTTTCTTCTCCTGGAAAAAAAAAAAAAAAAAAGGCAATGGGAGGGGAAAAATCCAATGGGAGGGAAAAGGGTGAGAGGAAGGGAAAGTATTTGCAATTTCCAAACAGATTCACTTGCTGAGCAGAAATGGGGCTTGCTGGCATTACCTTTCCTGGGAAGGCTGCTTTCACTAGAGCCATGGGGCGGGGGGGAGATAAAGAGAGACGGCAGTTTAATGAGCGGCCTGCGTTGGCTGCATCGGCCCTAGCCCTTGTCACCCTAACCAGAGTTAATGAACGAGGCAGCAAGCGCTGCTGAAGCATCATCTTCCAATAACAAAGAGGCGACACGGCCATTCTTCGGGCAGTTCTTCCAGCCCCTGTGCATCTTGAAAATAAGAGGTGCAAGATTTAACCTGCACCGAGAGAGGGGCACGGGCACCCACAAACCCTGAGTGTCTGCTTCCTGCTCCCCTCCCAGGACAACGGGGTAAAATCACTTGTCATCCAGTCCACAGAAATTAAAGTCGTGAGAACAAGACCCCAGCTTCCTAAGCTAGAAGAACCTCCAGGTCCCCCTGGTCTGGAGGGGGGGGGGACCCCACCTTGGGCCACAAAGGCAAATTGTTTTTCAAAGACAGACCCACATCAGGGGGTCTAGAGATGAATGGTTTCCTCTGTCCCACCCCCTGCATTTGGTTCCTAAGCAAAGTCATGTTTTAGGACTGTTGAAAAAGTATTTTTAAACGGCCATTGCCTTAAGAAAGCCCACGGGTTGTAAAGAATTAAGCTGTGCTGAGCTGACAAGGAGCTCTGGCATTTTATCTGGCTTCCCGAGCTCTCTCCCCAGCATCTTTTGTCTGCCTTGGCTCCTAAGACATAAACAATTGGGCCTTGTCGCCAAGCCCTCTCCAAAGACCAGAAATCAAAGCAGATTAAACAGCCTGCTGCTGGGTCCAGGCCAGCCTGCCCACCAGCCCCCGCCCGACAACCTGCTGCAGGGGAAACCAGATGGGATGCCCGCGCCCAGGACAGGGGCAGAGGGGCTGGGGAGGGGCCCCGCCCGGCTCATCTCAATGCGGGCGCCATATTCCCGGGGCTCAGTGGACCTCTCGGTTCTGCTCTATTACCCTCCACCCACCAAGGGGAGTGGGGAGCCGGGCTCCTAGCGGAACATCGTGGCCACAATCCACTGAGATTTGAGCTCCCGATTCCCATGGCTGAAGCCTTGGAAATCCCAGCCTAAGTCAACTTTCAGGAACTGCCTGGAAAGTCGTGGGCCTGACGCCTCCCTCCGGACTTCTCCTTTTCACCCCACAGCTCCTCCTAGTCTGCTTACAAACAAGCGGGCCCATTCTTCAAGGCCAAGAACAGCTGGCCGGAGTCCCAGACGGCACTTGACCCAGACGACTATGAGGTGACCATGTGCACCCACTTGGTCCTGAACACCCAGGGGCAACATCTATCAGGCCGGGAAAGGCACATGGGTGGATGGGTGACGGAGACGAGGGGCGAGGACGTCCATCCAGAGACCGGTCCCTGCAGACCGGGCACCGCAGGCAGCAAACAGCCCCAGCACACTTGACCTGAACACGGCTGAATGAGGGTCAAAGTGGCGTCCGGGAACCTGGACGGGGCTCCTTGACTGTTCCAAACGTCAGATACGCACTGGGTGGCTGATTCCACCCATGTAGACCAAGGCCAAGACCTTTCTTTAGGGTCTGGGCACAGCAACACCTTTCTGGGGCAAAAAAGCCATCTCCAGGACAAAGTCAGGAAGAGGCGAGAGGGTCCAGCGGGGGCAATTCAGGCATAAGAAGGGACGAAGCCCTCACCCCTGCCCCACCGGAAGGCCCACAAAGGCCACACCACGCGCTTAGGGACACGAACCGCCGCAGAAACAGACAAAGCCACCGAAACAAAAAGCAGCTCGATGGTTTCCAGGGCCTGCAGGAGGGGAGAAGGGGCGTCACCGCTAGTGGGGATGGGGTTTCTTTTTGGGGTGATGAAAATGTCCTGAGGTTAGACAGAGGCGCTGGTCACACAACACGGTGAATGTGTCAACTGCCACTGAACCAGGCACTTGAAATAACGAATTTAATAGCATGTGACATAGATCTCAAAAAGAGAAAAGAAAGCTGAGAGAAAAGAGGAAGAAAAGGGCCCTTTCTGCCCCGGTGCCCCTCTCTGGGGGCTCTGGATCACGTTCCCGCAAGGAAGGAGGTGGCTGTTCCTCTTCGGGGAACACACATCAGCCTGGGGTCTGGTCCTGGGGTGTGGGGGTTGGGGGAAAGCCCGAGAAGGCAGTACCCCCACCATCAAGGGGAATCAGGGACCCCTGCCAAGTGGACTCTGAGACAGAGCTCAGAGGCCGTGCCCGGGAAGACCCAGACACTGGCTTCTTTGAGGCTCCACAACCCACTTGGGGTCCCCGGGGATGCATGGCAAGATCAGAACGTTCCAAGCAGCAGCCTCCCCCACACCCCAGCAACAACGGAATCCCCCCACACCCTGGCATCCCTGGCTCTGCGTGAGAAGCAGCAAGAGGATCCCGCAGCTCACGCTCACGGTGCTTTCTCAAAAGACACTTCCCCTTCACGGGGGTTTTGGCTGCCACCAGCTGGAGGTGAACAGAAACTCCCGGGAGCTCTGGGTGGGGCTTCCACGGGCAGCCCTGCACTGCAGAACCAGGACCGAGGCCTGGCCTGAGGCAGAGAGTGGGAGCGACGCCTGGGAAGACTTGTCCACACAACCGGAGCAGCAGAGATCAGCCTGGCTGGCCTGGGGGGGAAGGAGGCGCCTTACCCGGGTTCTGTCCTCGATCTCGTAGATGCGCAGCTGCATGGGCACGTTGAAACTGTGCAGGATGTTTCCGCCGAACACCAGAGAGTCGACGGGGGTATAGACAGCATGGATCCAACCTGGCGTGGGGAGGGCAAAGAGGTTCAGCGCCCAGGCCCTGGGGGTTCCCCCACTTATGACAGCCGGCAGGCAGGCACAGAAGGTTCTGCACTGGCAAGAGTCAGCTCTTCCTGCCCGCCTGTGACTATGCAGGTGCTTTTATCTCTCCTTTTCCAAACAAACCTATACCTGTCCTTTTAAAAAAAAAAAAAAGGCCCAGGGGAGCACCCAGAGCCAGGAGTGAGGATGTGCGGGGTGACCTGGGGCAGAAAGCAGGGGGTCCTGGCCTGCAGGACTCCCGCTGTAGGCCATTGGCCAGCTCCCATCAGCAGTGGGCAGCTGCAGGCCAGGCCCCACTGTTCACGGACCTTCATGTCAGGGAGAACCTGGCCGCAGCAGCCAACAGAGAGGCAGGACCTGCCCTCTCCCACACTGTCTGGAGAGCTGGGAAGCTGCTGGCCCCGGCTGCTCATCTGTCTTCGTCTGTCCTCGCCATCCCAGTGACCACCTGTCTCGGGAGTGTCACAAGGATCACAGGGCTTCAGCTAAGACGTGCCATTTGGTCAGGGCTGCAGGACCCAGGGGCCTGGCTGGCCTCTGCCCCAGGCTGCCTCCTGCTATCTCATCCTCCAAGGCCCAACTGCAGGCGGTGTCTCAGTCACACGCCACCCACACCCCACGCCAGCTCTGCTCGCACTCACCGACTGGTCCCTAGTGGAAACCCCTGACCCAAAGCCTGACCCAAAGTCCCCACGAGGATGACCAGAGTGCACTGGCCAAAGGGCGTCCCCAGGCTTCTCTCATTCGCTTCTCACAAAATCTCCCCAATATACAGAGAAACTGAGGCCCAGCAAAGTGAAGTCACTCATCAGAATCTGATCCCGGATCGTCCACCTCCACTTGGCCCATGAGGGATGGGGGCAAAGAAAGCAACCTAATCCCTTCAAACAGTAACTGACACGTCTCAGACCGACCCCGTGTCAAAGGTTCAACAGAGCCACACGCGGCTCTGGGCATCATAACGGGCAGCTCGGCGCGAGGGGGCAGGGACTGTTATAACCCGCTCCAATTTACAGTTGCTGGAAGCGAGCGAAAAGAATGGAGTCGCTGGCTGAATGAAGTCACAGCTGGCAAGTGACAGCGCCTCTGTTCTGAATGCTGCATCAAAGGCTTAGCACAGGCCCACGATCCTGGGAGAAAGAGAATCGAGAGACAGAAGCAAAGTCCAGGACAGATGGACGCAGAGAGCCTCGGCGTGAGGGATGTATCAGCCGAGGGGAGAGGAGACAGGCACCGAGATCCAGGGCCCCTTCTCAAATTGTCCACGTGCCTAATTTGTTGACTGGAAGGAAAATGTCAGAGCGCCCCCACCTCCATGCCAGCCCCCGCAGGGGCACTCTTCCCTGGCACCAGCCCTGACCCTGACTAGGGGGCTGCGCGGTGGGAGCAAAGCCACCATCTGGGATGAGAGCCGGCGGCTGCGAGGGCCCAGCTGCATCTGTGCAGGTTCGCCCGGCTGCTGGCCCTCCCCCTGCAGGGGGCTGCAGATGGGACAGAGCTGTGGTTCTCGGGGAGAGCGACAGGAAACTAGCCAAGCACACAGAAGCAGACGCGAGCGGGATCTGCTGTTGAGGGGGATCTGCTGTCGGGGCCCATGCCTCTGGCCGGGCGTGGCGGGGGCAGCTGCTCTGCGGGGCGGGCAGGCCCTGTCCAGGCTCCTGGGCACCTTCCGTTTCTCCCACGCCTTCTGCACAGACACCCCTGGAGTCTACTTTCCACACCAACTGCTCCTCTGTTTCAATACGGGTGGGGTATTATCCTAACTAACATCACCACCATCTGCCTAGTCAAAGCCCGGTCTCCTAAGACTGGACCCGGGAGCCCCGAGTTCCCGCGGCCGCACCTGGTGGCGTGAAGCCCGAAGGGGAAGGATTCCTGGGTGCTCTTCCTGCACTGCCTTGGCGCCCACCCACACCCTGCACAGAACCAGGTCCAGCAGCCTGGGCTCCAGACAGTCCCCAGGGCCAACTCAGCACCTGACGGCCCCGCCCCGGCCTCCATTTGCCATGTGAAATGGAGATGCCGCCTCCCCCGGGGGAACTTCCTTGGTGAGCGAGCGCTCAAGCGAGTGAGCAACCCCTGCTGGTATCCAAGGAGCCTCGCCCATCGCCAGGGCTGGGGACAGGATGCCCAGGGCTGCCAGCACCCTCCTCCCCTACCCGGTGGACAGGCAGACACACCTGACTTACACCTGTTACCCCAGTTGTGTGAGCAAAGAGAGAGGTGCTGTGTCAAGTGGAGGGACCAGACAACCGAGGGGTTCTGGAAGCTTCTCCCCAAGCCAAGGCCTCCCTGAGGAGTCAGGCAGCCTCCCCTGCATTGCGAGTCAGTGCCCAGCAGTACCCTCCTCACAGACCCTGTCACGACCACAAACCTGATGGGCGTTCTCAGGAACCCAAAGGGCACCAGGCACCATCTCAGCCCCACCCAGATGCTCAAGATTCAGAACCCAGAGGCCCTCACTTGTGCACCTTTGTGGCAGCTGCAGGGATAAACCCAAGGGGCACAGGACTCAGGGGCATCTCCCAGAGACCGGCTGCTTCCTTCACCAGCATCCACAGATGCCCGAGCTGGGCCGGCGGCACCGTGACCAAGGGCAGGCCAGCAGGAAGCTGATTTTAACAAAACGATGGGGCGGGAAGTTCTTCCTTGAATGCTCACGGAGAAGATGAGAAGAGCCATGGGATGCTCCCTGCTCGGTAACTTGAGTTAGTGTTACTATTACATATGGCAGCCTAAGCTGTGCAGCGGATGGGGGCTGGAGGTCAGGTTCACTGATGTGGTCAGGGCACTGGTGCAGGTCAGGTCAGGTCAGAGAAAAAGATCTGACTTCCAGCTGCTCCTTGGGGATGAGCATCTTGAGTATCTCATTCATCACCAGGACTTGCAAAGGATGGGGCCCCACAGGGAAGGGCACGTATCAGCCCTGGGCTCTCCCTTCTCTCCTGTCACCTCTGCCTCACCCATCGAGGGCTGGTCAGCTCAGGAGGTCAAATCCAAGCCCCTTTTTTAGATCACCCCCTTCCTGGGTCACCTTCAATGGCCTTCCTCCCCCAGGAAGTCTTCCTGGATTACCCAGGGTTGAGGCCCAAAGAACCACCTCCCCTGAAGCACAGTCAGCAACAGCCCCTTCAGCCTCAGACACAAGAAGAAAAAGTTAAACCGAGTCTCACGAAGGTACTTTACATTTAAAATCTTCCCACGGGGAGATGGAGAGACTTGAGCCAGCAGGGGTGGGAGGACTCATGGCCAAGGTCACGCTGTGGAGATGAGCACCTAGGCCGCAGGCGGGAAAAGCCACAATTGGATTCTCCACTTCTGATGCTCCAAGAACTGCTTCCCCAAGGCACCATCTCCGCCGGAACCAAGCCGGCTGCCAGGAATCGCAGGTGTGTCTGTCTGCCCGTGACTCAGCAGGTACGGACACCGACAAGGACCCCAGACCCAGTGAGGAACCCAGATGCCCATCACGTTCAGTGGCCCCAGAACTCCATTCCTTTAGTTCGCCCGGGTGGGCCACACAAAATGAGACAAATGAAGATAGTGGAGATTTCACGTCACATATAAAGGAGGGCCCTTTATTCTGGAACGAGGACTTTCAGCTTTTTGCTGTCAGAATCATCTTTCCGTAAAACGGCAACAACAGTAGATGCCAGGTTGCGTCTTTTTAGTTAGTGTCTGTCCTGTGCAAGACTCCAAGTCTCGAGCTGCGGCAGCTCCTAGTTTGTGGGGTTTTGTCTACTCATTCCATTGCTCCATGAAATCAATGCCTGGGGGTCACATGCTCCATCCCCCCACACCCACCCCCTCTGAGAAGGTCACAAGTTCCAACTGTCCCTCTCTTTTACTTCCCACAAATCCTGGCATGTCACCACTCCCAGGTCCTTGTCGGGGTCTCCCTGGGCTCTGAGCCACGTCTCCTCCTACTCCCTTCGACACTCAGCGCCCCCCATGCTGCTGCTTCCCAAGACCTCCAACTCGCTTAACTTCCCAAAATTCACACCCTGCACCCCAGCCTGGGCAGAGCAACAAGCCAACCTCCCAGATCTGAAAGAAAGCGTGTCCTCACTCAGAGCTCAGGGGGGTGGGGGGGATGGGCCCCAGAGTTGAGCGCCCCCATCTGTGCCTTGTAGAGGTGGCACAGGAGGGGGAAGACACCAGCCAGGCCACCAGCCCGAGGGTCAGCAGCAAGGCCAAGAGCAATCCAGAGTTCCTTTGAATTCATCAGGGGCAATCCCTACAGGCTGGTCAGGATACGCCTTCTTCCGCCCTGCAGGCCACATCCCCTGTCAGCAGGGCAGGCACCCCCAAACGGCCCACCAGCCACAATCTCTCCCGCCCCAAGCCCAGCGAGGGCCAAGGCAGGTAACAGTCACCCCCAGCTGACCCACCACCTCCAAATCCCAAATTCCCCCAGTGATGAAGTTTCTACCTGGCCGACACTCCTGAAGACGCAGGGGTGCAGCCCCACCCCACGGGGGAACAGCTACCACAACTGTCCCCTTTCACTTAATTCCACACACTAGTGCTTGATGTCCAGACCCCAGCCCAACTTTCGAAGCCAGAGCAGAGCCAGCTTCTCTGGCCCACGGATTTAGTGGACTCACAGGACATTCCCGTCCTACGATCCAAGCTTCCACACAGGGGCAAATTCTCCGCAGGCTCTTTACCCGCGTCTAGCCTCTACTACTTGCGTACCTCCAGTGACGGGGAGCTCATCACCCATCAGAGCAGCCAGTACCATCTCTTCTTCCAGGAAATCACCCTTTACCTGGCTCACTGCCATTACCAGCCACCGTGGCTTCCTAGAGTAGAACAACCCAACTCCTCCCCCAAGCTCCTATCACCTCACGTGACACTCACTTGTCTCTGAAGTATGGTGACCAAGAACACAACCTCCTACACGCAGCCTGCCTGAGCTCTCACCCTACAGTGGGAGTCACCTCCCTCCTCCAGGGTGAAATGCTTCCATGAATTCAGCCTAAGACCATGCTGCATGACGACTCCTGGGTCATCTATCACGTCCATGAGGTCAGCTAGTGACCAGCCACAAGTCCGCGGTCCAGTTCTCAACTCCCACCCCTCTGCTATAGTTGTGGAGTTCAGTTTGGTTTATTGTGGTTTTGGTTTTTGTTTTCTTTTATTTTTGGAGTGGAGACTCCAAAAGCAGGAGCTGAGGAAGGTCCCAATTACTTTTCATCTAGTTCCACAGGAAGGAGGCGGCCACTTCCTGACAACACCCTGCCCGGCTCTCAGCACCCTGCCCCTCCCCCGGTCTCAGGGTAGACCTACTCCCCGCCCCCACAAGACTCCCCTGCAGGTCCCGCAAGGGTTTTTCCCCTGCACGAGGGCCTTAGAGGCCCCCTCAGAAATCCTAGTCCACAGGCAGGAGTCCCAGCTTAGCAGGGAGGGGAGTCGCTGCTGCTTTTCCCTGCAGCCCAAGGCCCACTCTTCGCAGGGGCTGCCAGCGGCCAAGAGGCCCAGAGCCACTTGGCCTACACCCCCGGGAGGCCCAGAGGACCGCAGGGGACAGCTCCAAACGCCGGCCACGCGAGACCTACCGGAAGGGATGAAGAACGTGTAGCCCTGCTTCAGCTCAATTCTCTGACATCGCTCTACACGGTCTCCCAGGAAGATGTCGCTCTGTTTGCCCGACAGCACCCACTCCTCGTACAGCGCCAAGTTGTGCAGGGTGGGAGGGATCAGCCAAAAGATCTTGGGAGGAAAAGGAGGCAAATCAGCGGAAGACCCAGGGCAGGGTAACGCCTTCCAGGCTCTCCATCACCCAAGAGACAGACCCGCCTGCCTGGGCGCTGGGAGAACAGGGGAGGATCTATCCCCAGGGGCCACCCAAAGGGTGTCTGGGGTGGCAAGGGGTCTGTGCGCTTCTGAGCACCCCTTCCTGCCTTTAGGGGATCTGTTCCCGTAGCAACAGCAGGGTGGAAGGCTTTCTGGACTGGAAGGAACATTCTTTCCCCTGAGCTTGTCAGGGACGTGGGGGAAGGTGAGGAAGGCGAATTTCCTACATTGTTTGATAAAACGGCCTGGTAAACAAACCCAGCTTGCGCTCACTCTCCACAAGAGGGAAAACAGGGCCTCCTCAGCTGTTATAGAGCAACCCCGATATTAAACGGGTTCCTGGCTGTGGGTCCTCACCCGCGCGCTTTAAAGGGACTTATGAATACTCTACTACAGGCACACGCAAAAGGTTAATAAAAGTTTTATTTACAAGAGAAAAGGAAATAAGGAAAATGTACAACTCAGGGAGAAAATAGGGAAATAAAGTCTTTAATGCGTCCTACCCGATCCGACGACCTGGAAACCCAAAGTCACTCTCAGAGCTGGCCGGACGCTGCGAGCTGGCCGAGAGCCCAAAAATGGAGAGAGCCCCCAAAGCCCACGTGTCTGCCTTTTGTATCCACCTGGCTGCTTAACCCCACCCTCAGGTCCCAGCCACCTTCCCTTGGGTGGTGATGGGATTTGGAGTTCCCAGTGTCTTTGGCTTTGACCTGGGGTGGGGGTGGAGTCCACAAAGCCTATATGGAATTTGCTTTGGGACATCCTTTTCCCCCTAACAATTCCCCCCTTTCACTTGTTGCCACCATTTCCATGGTGATGGCGGAGCAGCAGTTGAGCGCTGGGCTGTGAAGCTGCCCGCAGCCTCTGTAGCGCCGGTTCGATCCCCGGCCACCCGGGAGGGTCCCACATGGCACGCAGACCTCTCCTGCCGCCCGCTGCTCCCCTCAGCAGTGTATGTCGGTCCTTCTGCCTGCTCTGCTCCCTGCTCTGGCTCTGGTGAATTCTCTCACCCTCCCGCGCTTCTGACTGTACCCAGTGCTTGTATAAACAAAATAAATAAATCTTAAAAAAAAAAAAAAAAAAAGGGAAAACATCTGGAACCAAGCAGGGGGACTTCCTACCTAGAATTTCTTTCGACAACTTCAGTTCAAACAGAGGCACACACAGACCTGACAAGCAGAGCGGCCCCCCCACACGCAAGGTGCCCCCACCAGGGACGGGTCATCCTCACCCCCACGCGACACGCCCGAAGCAACAGACATAGCAGGCGAGTGTCCCTCCACCCACCCCAGCTCCCGCCCCCCCAGTGATGTCTGTATGTCTGTCTCTGACGTCAGATGACCTTGGAGGCAGGTGGGGCCGGCACCTAGACTTTAGAATACAAGGTCTCAGGTTGGATCTGAGGGGGATGAAGGCGGGAGTTCCCGGAGCTGAATGTGGAGTTCAAATCTGGTCCACAGCGCTTGGAGCAAGGCGTGACCAGGTGGGCACAGGTGACCAGACATGATGTAAAGGAGTTGACCTAGATCTTATCCCTCCCGAAGAAGAGAGGTGGTGGCCCCAAGGAGACTCAGAACACACAGGGGAGGGCTGGCTGGAGGAGGGGGCGGGGGAAGGTGAGCCGATTCTCCAGGTACCAGCAGCCTGAGATGTAGAGCAGGGGAGGCCGTTCACTCACCTTCCCGCCCCGGAAAACATGGTACCAGACGGAAGTGCCTCCGAAGTCGATGTGGAAGTCAGTGAAACAGCCTTTCACGCTCATCAGACAGTACCTGCGGGGACACAGAACAGGTGGGGGGGGGGCAATTTAGTGCTGCCTGGGAGGTGAGCAGCTTCCAGAAGGACTCACCTGCTGCCCTTTTGTAAATGCTGACACTGGGGAATTTTCTTTTCTCGTTTTTTTGTAAACCCATATCACGCTGGAGTTCCCCATGGGGGAAGCCCCTGTGATCAGGTGACATTGAATCTCAAGCATTTACTACCTACCTCAAAGTCTGGGGGAGGCATTTTTGCTTTCCCTGGAGAGCTGGCCAGCCGGCCACCTAAAGGTCACTCTGTTCCTTCCTCCCTGATGGTTTCTATTCTGCCCCCCCCCCCAGTAAAAGGCTGCCTTTCCACCCCTTCGAGGCTGATACCTGCAGCTCTCCAGGCTGCCAGCCCCCTGCCCTTTGAAGCAGCTGGGCCCCTGGAATTCCACTGTAAGCCACCTCATCGCTTGCCAATGACCAGCCCCATTCACCTCCTCCTTCATTCAACAGTCACTCAGTGAGCCTCCCTGGTGGCGCAAGGGGTTAAGCACCGCACTGTGAAGCAATCGCAGCCTCTGCAGCACGAGTTCCATCCCCGGCCAGCCAGGGAGCAACACACATGGCGCAGCAGACCTCTCCTGTCTCGCCCGCTGCGCCCCTCAGCAGTGTATTTCAGTCAGCCTGTCCATTTGTTCCCCACTCTGTCTCTGGTGAATCCTTTCACACACACACACCCCCCACACACACACAATCTCTGGCCTGTACTCCAGCTCTTATATGCATAAATAAATCTTTAAAAAAAAAAAATCACTCAGGGAGAGCCAACCTGCCCTCTGGGCCAGAGCTAGGCTTGGCACTAAGATAAGTGCATTAAGAATGCCCAAGACCGGGCTTCCTCTGGTGGCACAGGCAGTTGAGCACCACGCTGTGAAGCTGTCTGCAGCCTCTGCAGCATCGGTTCGATCCCTGCCAGCCAGCAAGGGTCCCACATGGAGCAGCAGACCTCTCCTGTCGTGCCCACTGCTCCCCTCAGCAGTGTATTTCGTCAGTCTGCCTGTTCTGTTCCCCGCTTTGTCTCTGGTGAATCCTCTCACCCTCCCCGCGCATCTGGCCTGTACCCCGGTTCTTGTGTAAATGAATAAATAAATTTAAAAAAAAAAAGAATGCCCAAGACCCCTGTCTGTAGGGGTGGGACACTCTTAAGGAAACTGCACAGAAAGTTTCACTTAGGACAAACTGCCACTGACTGCGAAGCAGTGCAGCCGAGGAGACAGGGCACCCCCACGGAGGACGGGGCTTCCACTGAAACGGCCAGCATGGGCAAACCAACAGAGACAGACAACAGCAGTGGCCACGGCTGCAGGGGTTGGGAGGAAATAGGGAGTGATGGCTAACGGGTTCAGGGTTTCATTTCGGGGTGATGAAAATGTTTCCCAACTAACTAGTTGCACAACTCTGTAAACAAACCAAAAACCACTTACCGTAAGCTTTAAACAGCAAGTGAATCATATCTCAATAAAACTGTTCTTTAAATAGGGGTGAAGAGAGGCCCGTGGAGGTGCTGTACCGGCAGGGAAAGGAGGGGCATGGGCCCAGAGGGCTGGGCCGAGGGAGTGCACTGGGGCCCCTCCGAGCCTGCCAGCAAGAGCCAGATAAACCCACCCTTCTCGCGGCAGCTCACAGGTGCCGGACTAGCTCTCCCCCTCCAGGTGGGCAGAGCTGGGTGGTGGTGGGCGGGGGGGCGGAGCAGGCTTCCAAGCCCAGGCCTGGAAGACAGCTGGGCCAGGGCCCCCTCCCTCCCACCTCACTCCCAGGAGAGCCACCGGCGGTGGCAGGGAGGGGGGCGGCCTCCCCACCGCTCATGCCCATGCACCTTGGCACCTCGGGAGGCCCCCCCCATGCTTACCCCACTGACCTCTTTTCCCCGCTGCACTTTGCTTTTCCATGGTTTGGGGAAGAGGGAGCAATGGGCGGGAAGGTAGGGAGGAGCCAGGAGCCTGCCTCAGTGGAGATAATGGGGGTGTGGGGCTGCGCTGGCTGGGAGGCTGCCGGGCTCCAGGCGCCCCCTCCCTTGGCGGCCTTTTGCACCTCACAGGCAGGTGGACGGGCTCGCCGTATGCAGGCGGCGTGCCCGCGTCCCTCCGCCCATAGGCTGGAAGGAGACGGAACCATGTGTCTGCAGGAGGCTGACAAATCAGGAGGCCGCCCCGCACCTCAGAGCCCCGCTGCCTAGCAACCCGGCGGAGGGTGTAGTTGACAGCCGGGCGCAGCCTCGTCACGAAGACCGCGCGGGCCGCGGGCTGGGGCTGTTCAAGTCCCGGCCGGGGCTGGGGCTCTCGGGGCTCCACACCCGCCCGCCCGCCCGCCCGCGCCCAGCCAGGTCCCCACTTTGGAGGGCGGGGGGATGGGCTCCCCCAGGAATTGGGGGGATGGTCTGACACCCCACCCCACCCCCATGGGCCACACTGGCCTCTCCCCTCCAACACCACTTCAAAATATTAGTCCTCATTTCCCTAAAATCACCTCCAGGTTTTTCTCTTTTCTCTCTTCAACCGAACCCTGGCCCCACCCCCTGCAGGCCTCGGCGGCACAGCGTCGAGGAAAAACCATTTAAGTGTTTGTGGGGAGGAGCGCGCTGTGCTTCCCCGGGGCTGGCGGCTGGAGGCTCACCGGGAGCAGAGACGGGGAGGGGGGCTCTCGGTCTCCACGCGGCCGCGCAAGCGGACCCCGTCCAGCCCCCCTCGGCCCAGCCCCCTCGGCCCAGCCCCCCTCGGCCCAGCCCCCTCGGCCGCACCGCCGCACGACAGGACCCCCGCGGGCCTCGGCGGCGGCTGCGCGCTGCTGCCTCGGCGGCGCGAGCAGGGAAAGTTCTCCAAGTTGCGCCGGTGTCGGCTCTGCCCTCCAGGCACCCCCCGCATCCAGGAGGCCTCGGGGGTGGGGGGCGCCCCTTCCAGACCCGCCTCCCCTGGAGAGGCCCCTCCTCCCGCGTCCCTCCTCTCCCGGCCGCCCAGGCCCGGGGCGCCCCTCCGAGCCCCGGGGTGGCCGTGACGGGGCGGCTTTGTCCGGGCCCGGCGGCCGCGCCCGGCCCGCCCGCCTCCTCCCGGGCCCCTTCGCGCCGCCCCGGCGCGCCGCCTGTGCACTGACCTCCGCGGCTTCCTCTTCCCGGCGCGCCGCAGTCACATGGGCGCCCGGCGCGGTGCCCGGCCGCGAGCCTCCGCGGCCAGCCGGCCCGGCTTCCGCCCGGCCGCCCCCCGCCCGGAAAGGCGCGCCCCGCGCACCCCCCGGCGGCGCGGCCGGCTCGGCCCCTCCCGGGGGGCCGGCACCCGGGCCCGGCCGCCTCGGGGGTTTCCCGCCCCACGACCCCGGCGGGCCTGGGAGGAGCGCGGTAGGAGGGGGCGCTGCACCTGCAGCATCAACTTTGGGGAGCCGCCCGGGGTGCGGGAAGGCGGGGCGGCGCCGCTCGCCCCTTCCCCTCCAACTTGGGGAAACCAGCCCGGCGCCCCCCGGCTCAGGGCGCTGGAGACGGGCCGGGGCCGGGGCGCGCCGGCGGCTCACTTGGCGCCACTTACGCGCGGCCCGCGAGACACAAAGAGCCGCTCCCGGGCAGGCGCGTCCGCACCCGGGCCCGCGCCCCGAAGGAGCGGCGGCGCCCCCGCAGCCCGGCCCGGGGCGCAGCGCAGGACGCGGCCCCCGCCCGCGCCCGCCCACCGGCGCCCGCGGTTACCCGAGGCGGGGGCGGCGCGGCTCCCGGGCGTCCCCTCCGGCCGCGGCGGCGGCTCGACGCGCGTCCGGCCCGGGCGGCGGGAGCCGAGCCCGCTCCGCGGCGGCCAGGCCCGGGCGCAGGACCGGGGCGCCCGCGCTCGCCCCCTCCGCGCGCCGGCCGCCGGGCGCGGGCCGCGCTCATCCCCGCGCTGAAACCGAACACCGCGGCGGCCCGGGAGGCGGAGGAGGCCGCGCGGCGCCGGGGAAGCGCCGGCCGGCGCCAGGGGACGCCGCGCCCGCCCTCGCCCGGCCGGTGGGGGCCCCGGGGCCGCGGTGCGCCCCCCGGCCTAGGAGCCGGAGCGCGGGGCTCCCCGCACCCCGCCTTTCAGGGCGCGTGGACGCCGTCCTGGCGGGGGGGCGACGGCCTGGCGAGGACACCGTCCGTCACGCGCCCGCGGCGGGCGGCGGCGGCTGGGGCGAGGCCGCGCGGAGGGTCGGGGCCTGCCGGGCCTCCCGCCCAGGGCACCGGCGCCGTGACCTTGAGCTTCCCCCTCGAGCAGCCTCTCCGCGGCCCAGGGGCAGGGCGCCGGCTGCGGGTGGGCCCCGCGGTCTGAAATGCGCCTTTGCGGCTCCCCCCGCGGCCCCCCAGCAGCTGCGTCCCGGGAGCGGTGGGATCAGGGCGCAGATGGAGTTCAGTATCCGGCGAACACAGCACCGTGGCGTCGCGATCGTCAGACCCATCTGCACCCCAACTCGGTGAAGGCATTCCCCGAATCGTCCCCATTTCACAGATGCAGCAGCAGCGTTTCAGAACAGTGACTCACCGAGCCGGCCCTCTAGCCAGGGCGGTGCTCATCGCGAGCCCCCACCCCACCCGGCACCCCCCCAGTTTCCCCACCCTCCTCCCCAGGTCCACCTGGCAAATCCCACACTCTAAAATGCAGAGTGGCTTCAGGCTTCAGGCTTTTTCCAGTTGCCATCAGAGGTTCCACCTCCAGGGCAAGCTCACCAGGACCTCCCCTCCCCCTAGCCCCCCCCTCCCTCCTCCAAACCACGAGGGGGCAGGGGCCGGCCCACGGCTCCAGCAGGCACAGAAATCAGGCTTCTCCACTCTTGGGCCAACGCATTCACTAGAACTAGCCCCCAGTATCACTAGGTCATAATTCTTAAGTGTGGATGATAATAGCTGTCTACATGCATGAACTCCCTCCACCCTCTCAGGAACCAAATCAACCCCATTTTAGGGAAGTGGTCAGTGAAGCCATTCAAGGTGGTCAACACCCTGAAACAGAAAGTTGCTTCCTGGCATCATTTATGAGTTG